ACTCTTAGCTAGACTCACCAAGAAACAAAGAGAGAGAACCCAAATACACAAAATCATAAATGAAAGAGGAGAAATAATAACTGACACCATAGAAATACAAAGGATTGTTAGCAAATATCATGAACAATTATACGGCAGCAAATTCAACAATCTAAACAAAATGGACAAATTTCTAGAAACACATAGTCTCCCAAAACTGAACCTGGAAGAGACAGAAAACTTGAACAGACCAATAACAACAGAAGAAATTGAAGGTGTAATCAAGACTCTTCCAGCAAACAAAAGCCCAGGCCTGGACAGCTTCACGGGGGAATTTTACCGAACATTCAAAGAAGAACTAATACCCATTCTCCTCAAACTACTTCAAAAAATTCAAAAAGAAGGAAGACTTCCAAACTTGTTTTATGAGGCCAGCCTAATTCTAATTCCAAAACCAGAAAAAGACACTACAAAGAAAGAAAACTCCAGACCAATATCCCTGATGAACCTGGATGCCAAAATACTGAACAAAATACTAGCAAATCGAATCCAGCAATACATCAAAAAAATTATTCACCATGACCAAGTGGGATTCATCCCAGGGATGTAAGGCTGGTACAATATTTGCAAATCAATAAATGTGATACACCACATAAACAAAATGAAGAATAAAAATCATATGATCATATCAATAGACACTGAAAAAGCATTCGACAAAATACAGCACCCATTTCTGATAAAAATGTTCAGCAGTGTGGGAATAGAGGGATCATATCTTGGCGTAATAAAGGCCATATATGAAAGACCTACAGCCAACATCGTTCTCAATGGGCAAAAACTAAAAGCATTTCCCTTAAGAACAGGAACAAGACAGGGATGCCCACTTCTGCCACTCTTATTTAACATAGTACTGGAAGTCTTAGCCACAGCAATCAGACAGGAAGAAAAAGTAAAAGGGATCCACATTGGAAAGGAGGAAGTGAAACTGTCATTATTCTCAGATGACATGATAGTATATGTAGAAAACCCCAAAGACTCCATCAAAAATTTACTAGACTTAATAAATAAATTTGGCAAAGTAGCAGGATACAAAATTAACGTCAAGAAATCGATGGCATTCTTATACACCAATGATGAACTCACAGAAAGAGAAACTAAAAACACAATCCCATTTACCATCACGGCAAAAAAATTAAGATACCTAGGAATAAATTTAACCAACGAAATAAAGGACCTATTGGCAGAAAACTATAGGTCATTGAAAAAAGAAATAGAGGAAGATATAAAAAAGTGGAAGCACATATCTTGTTCATGGATTGGAAGAATTAACATCATTAAAATGTCCATACTACCCAAAGCAATCTATAGATTCAATGCAATCCCCATCAAAATACCAACGACATACTTCACAGAACTAGAATACTTCAAAAGTTCATATGGAACCAATAAAGACCTCTAATAGCCACAGCAATCTTGAAAAAGAAGAACAAAGTAGGAGGGATCACATTACCAGATTTCAGGTTATACTACAAAGCCACTGCAATCAAAACAGCCTGGTACTGGCATAAGAACAGGCATATAGACCAGTGGAACAGAACAGAGAACCCAGAAATGGACCCAAGGCAATATGCTCAATTGCTATTTGACAAAGGTGGCAAGAGCATACAGTGGAGTAAAGACAGCCTCTTTAATAAATGGTGTTGGGAAATTGGACAGCTACATGCAAAAACACGAGACTAGACCATCAACTTACACCATACACAAGAATAAACTCAAAATAGATAAAACACTTAAATGTGACTCATGAATCCATAAAAATCCTAGAAGAAACTGTAGGCAACAAAATTTCAGACATCATATGCAGCAGAATTTTCACTGATACATCACCTAAGGCAACAGAAACAAGGAGAAAATGAACACATGGGACTACATCAAACTCAAAAGCTTCTGCACAACGAAAGATACAATAATCAAAATGGAAAGGCAACCCACTGTATGGGAGAGCATAATTGCCAATGATACATCAGATAAGGGCTTAATTTCCAATGTATAGAGAGTGCTCATACAACTCAACAAAAGAAAGACAAAGAACCCAATTAAAAAATGGGCAGAGGAACTAAATAGACACCTCTCCAAACAGGACATACAAATGGCTAAGAGACATATGAAGAAATGCTCAACATCACTAATCATCAGAGAGATGCAAATTAAAACAGTAGTGAGGTATCACCTCACACCTGTCACAATGGCCACCATCAACAAATCATGAAACAACAAATGTTGGCGAGGGTGTGGAGAAAAGGGGACTCTAATACACTGCTGGTGGGAATGCAGACTGGTGCAGCCGCTATGGAAAACAATATGGTGTTACCTCAAAAAATTAAAAATTGAACTTCCATTTGATCCAGTGATCCCACTTCTAGGAATATACCCTAAGAAGCCTGAAACACCAGTCAGAAAGAATATATGTACCCCCATGTTCATAGCAGCACTATTTGTAATAGCTAAGATCTGGAAACAGCCCAAATGTCCATCAGTAGATGAATGGATAAAAAAGCCGTGGTACATGTACACAATGGAGTACTATGCAGCTATGAGAAAGAAAGATCTCTTATCCTTTAAGACGACATGGAGGGACCTGGAAAGTATTTTCCTAAGCAAAACAAGCCAAACAGAGAAAAACAAGTATCATATGATCTCACTTATTTGTGGAATATAATGAACATAACAGTCTGAGGAATGGGGTATCCCCAGAGACATGGAAGTGGGGTACAGACTGACAATCCCCAGAGGAGGGGGGGTGGGGAGAGATCAACCACAGAACTTATATGCATGTGTGCATGAACAGTGGACATGGACAACAAAGCTGTGGACAGGGTGGGGAGGGAGAGGAAGGGGGGAATCAGTGGGGGGAAAAGGGAGAAACACCTTTAACAAAAATAAATTAATTAATTAAAAAAAATAAAATCCTGTGTGATACACGCAAAATAAATAAATAAATAAAATGGAAGTCTTTTCCGTGCTTTTACTGAGAAATATTGACCTCAAACTCAGTTGTCACTGCTTCACATGTCATCCACTTGGAATGGAGATTTCATTTCCGTTTAGATTCCCAGGCCTGCGTGGGACTGTTGGTGAAAGCAAAGCCTCCGGCCGTGGAAGCCAGCAGAGCCAGCAGTGGGAAGCATCAGAGCTTCCATGCGAAGGGCTCAGGGAAGGTGTCCACACACTTGCCATGTAACTGATTATTTTTAGGGAGATAAAATGACTCTTGATGAATAAACTATTGCTACACACTGCAGTAGGAATGAATCTCAAAATAATTAGCCTGAGTGGAGGAAGCAACATTCCTCCAAAAAGTACATACTGTATGATTCTATTGACATAAAATTGTAGAAAATACAAACTAATTTATAGTGGCAACGAGCATATTAATGGTTCCCTGGTAGGGATAAGAGGTTGGAGAGAGGCTCAGGAAGGAGGAATTACAAAGGGGCACAGGAAATTTTGGTGCAATGAATAGTTTTATTATTTTGTTTGTGAAATTGCTCAGCGTAAATGTATAATGACATTGTTGGACATTAGTGTGGTGTGTGTGTGTGTGTGTGTGTGTGTGTGCGCACGCATGTGTGTATTTACAGTTGCCTGAAACCAGGCAAATGGTAGGCAAGGGACAGTGAATAGAAAGAGGAAGATAGAAGAAAGTCTTGGAGAGCAGACAAGACCAGGGAACCTCCCGAGGATTCCGTCAAAGCTACAACCCAGAATGGGGATGGGGGCTGGTCGGGCTGAGCAATGCTCTGCAAACCTTACTTTGCACATAAGTGCCCTGGCGCTCTTGTTCACACGCAGATTCTGGGTTAGTAGGGCCAATCTGGGGTCCGCCTCTCTCCCAAGCTTTCAGTTGGGGCTGGTCTTTCAGCCAGCCTTTGAGTAGCAAGGGCTAGAATATTCGTGGTCAACTTTGGTTCTGTATCAGAATCACTGGAGAGGTTAAAATAAATGATTAAATAAATAAATACCTTTTAAAAAAAACAAAACAAAAACCTGATACTGGATCTCACCTCTACTCCCCAAAGGTTCTGATTTAATTGATCTTGAGTTCAGTCCAGGAATCAGGAGTTTTTAAATCTATCCAGATGATTCTAATGTGCAGCCCAGGTTGATAACGACTCCGGACAGAGTGATAGTCTTGTCAGGGAACGAGGAGGAAGGAGGACAGGGATGGCAAGTAGGACCTGGGCCAGAGAAATGTAATGACTATGTCCCCAGTCAGAACCCAATGGGACCCTGTTTCACACACGCAAATTTACCTGAAAGAAGTTTATTCCTGGCCGGTTCTGCCTGTGTTAAAGATGCTGTTGTTTCCACACCCTGGGAATACGTTTCAGACTGATTACTGAGCAGGAAGTGGGTGGCATGGCCGTCCTCAGGTTAGAGCCACATGGACGAAAAGTCATTGTAGTGGAGGAAGCTGAGCAGAGAGGCTGGTTGGGCACCTCCTTCCCAATACACCCACCACACTGTCCTCTTCAAAAAGACACCCCCAGCCTCTCTTTTCCCATCAGCCATGGGCCACAAACCAGAAATGACAGACAATGCTGTGGTCTTCTAATCTGCCCCAAACTTGTTTAAAAGTAATTTTCAAATAGGTTGAAAATTATTTTTGATCTAGTTACAGAATTGTATCTGCCTCATGGAATTCTAATCCCGAAAATACTGATGCACCAGAACCCTGAAATGTTAAATGAGACATGTCTATTTAATTGTGCTGTTTGGAACTTAAAGAGCCAGAGTTTGCCCACATTTTGCTGATAACTGTCATCATTTTCAGACTGACCTTGGCTACTGATTAGGTTCACCATTGCTAAAATTACATATTGGAAAATAAATTATCTTCAGCAAAACAAAACACTTTTTTTTATTTAGTTGATTAAATTGCAGTTATGATCAAAACAAACTTCACATACATGAATACAGTCTGGTTTGAGGATGCTCATTGTGTCTGACTTCTGATGCAGAGGATGCTGTGTACCTGGACAATGATAAAGAAAGAGAAGAGTATGTCCTGAATGACGTCGGGGTTATTTTTCATGGAAACGCCAGTAACGTCAAGACTAGAAGCTGGAGCTATGGTCAGGTGAGCCATTTAAAATTTGTCACTGTCAAGGACATTTTGCTTAATATTTTTGTCACATGTATCACTGCAGGGTGCCATATGTCAATATTAGACAAGCATAACTTCCTGCTTTCCAGGATCTGAGACTCCAAGACAGAGAGCCCAGGAGTAGAGATTTAGAAAGACAACTGCATAATTTATCAGCTAAAATCAGTACCTTAGGTTGTGACAATGTTGCAGAGATCAGAGGCTGTGGAAAACGTGGCATTTTGCTGAGAAGCACTGTGGCGTCTTAGTGCAGGGAAATCTCAGCTCAGACTGTGCTCTGCAACCTGGGATGGGCTGAGCTTTTCTTTTCTTACAAGGAAAGGTGTTTTGATAATGATGCAAAGGATATTGCAAGGTTTGTACCCAACTCAAAGAAATAATCATTTTTAAGTGTTAGTATAAGATACAGCCAGTTAGAAAAGAATGTTACCATGTCGTCACAGGAGGGTCCACTGAGCTTTTACCTAAAGATATTGTATCAGCTGCAACCTCAAGTAACCTTCAGATGTAAAATATCTTAAATGGGTTTCATTTAAGACATTGAATAATTCGAACTATTTCAGATTGGTATCTTTAACAATGGAGAAAATTGATGATATTTTACTGTATTTCCATAAATGAATGCATGTCCTAGGACTCAGAAACCATCTTTCATCAGCAGCAGGAGAGGGGGTGAGCATGTCCTCTCCCACAGGGTTTGGCTGAGATGATGGGAATGGGCACCATTCTGGTGCCCAGGGCGGACAGCTCATGGAATCTGGCCTCACCAGGTTGCAGGATAGCTTCTTGGCTTCTTGATGCCTTGTTCTGACTTCCACAGGGGCTCTCCCTTCATCCTTCACCCATGCTCCAGACTCACCAATGGACCTGTGTCATCACTGACTCGTGTCCACCTGGCTTTGAAAATCACATGCCCAGGGCTCAGGCTAATGACCTAAGTTCTCTTGCCCTGCTTTGGATACATGCCTGGCTGCCTGGTTAGAAGCCCGCCCCTTCCCAAGTGACATACAGCTTTTGACTGCTGCCTGTTGTCTGGTGTCCTTGCTCTGCGTCTCTGATTCCTAACGTCTCGGTGTGATTCTTTCTGTGTTCCCAACGTGACAATATAAAGAGCGCTAATAAGGAAAAAGTCAGCATGGCAGGTAGCAGAAAGAACTGGAAAAGGGTCCACCTTGGTCAGAATGCCTTTGGCATTCACAGCTACTGTCTGTCTCTACTGTCATTCAGAGTGCGCTGATTTAGGTCCTTTGGCATAAAGAACCAACGAACCCAGTAGTTTGCAGGGTTGCAGAGAAACAACTAGTTCTATGATTATTCTTTTACCTCTCCAGTTCACTGATATCATGTCCCACAGACACAACTGAGAGATGCTGATAAAATGATGAGTTCTTTAGCCAGGCCGGTGTGGCTCAGTGGCTGAACATCGACCCATGCACCAAGAAGTTGTCAGTTCGATTCACAGTCAGGACACATGTCCAGGTTGTGGGCCTGATTCCCCGTGGGGGACATGCAGGAGATGGCCAGTCGATGTTCTCTCTCATCAATGTTTCTATCTCTCTCCCCCTCTTCCTTCCTCTCTCTCTAAAAATCAATTTAAACATTTTTTTAAGAAAAAGAAAAAATAATGAGTTCTTTATATGCCTGAAGACCAAGTGCAATTACCCAGTATTGCATGCATCACACCCATTTAGGTACATGCAGCATTGGGATTCTCACTGGATTTAGTAAGGAATTACACGGTAACTAGCCATTAAGATTGCGGTTTCTGTCACAAGTGCGTGCGTGGATCATTGCGAGACTTCCACACTCAGGAACATTCCTGCACAGTGAGGCACAGTACAGGCGAAGCCTTCTGTTTTGTCATTTTGCTACTTTGTCTTTATTCCTTTTTAAGAAAATGCTAGTGTTGCAAATGGCTAGCTGTTCTCTCTGAGGAGATCGAACTGCCTACTAGGTTGTTCCCTCCATAACGTAGTCTACTTTGTCCGCCTCTCTTCGAGCCCACCTTGTCTGAGAGGGAAGGTCTCAGACAGACAGACAGTCACTACACAAGGTCTTCTGCTATTTCCCGTGCAAGGTGGATAAATGAGCCATTTATTTTCTAGATGTACAAGGCCTCCTGTTACTTTTGAGGTCTCGAGACTTTGGCCTGACTTTGGTAAATTGTTTATTCCTTTGCCTGGGGCACTGGAACCAATATGTTAGAGAGAGCCTCCCAATTAACTGGTACAATTTTCTGAAGAACTTCAAGTCAGTTCATATGATCCTTAAGTGCATCGGTTCTCTAGTAGTTGTTTCTATTTCTAGCTTGTTAAGTTCTTATTTATTTTACTGAGAAATAATAGAGGACATCTCGGTCTTGCACTCTAGTATGAAATATCAAGTATAAAAGATTGTGAGCAATTATCATATAGGAATACACATTTCTAAACAAGCGACTGTGGTTTTATTTTCTTTTTTGCTAGAGTATCTTGCTTGCAGAGTGGACATTAAGTAGTTTCTCATCTCCCCCCCTCCCCCCATAGTTTGAGAATGGCATCCTGGACGCTTGCCTGCATTTGATGGACAAAGCACAGATGGACCTTTCGGGCAGAGGGAATCCCGTCAAAGTCAGCCGCGTTGGGTCTGCAATGGTAAGCAGCCGCTACTGACCACTAAAATCAGGTACACATCATTTGCCTCAGTGTAGATGCCAGTTCATTAAGGGTTATTGAAATGGTGACTTAAACTTCATAAACATTTATCTGTAATAGTCTGGAATTCCCTGAACTTGTCATGTGCTATAAAATAAAATTCTTGTCATCAGTACTGCATGTTTCTTTGGATTCAGACAAATAGTGATCAATGACATGATACTATAGACCACTTGTTGTTAAAAATCTCATGCCAAACCCTGGCCGGTTTGGCTCAGCAGTTGGAGCATCGGCCTGCGGACCAGAGAGTCCCGGGTTCGTTTCCCGCTAGGGGCACATACCAAAAAAAAAAAAAAATCTCTTGCCAAGGGACTGAAGAGTAACCGTGACAAAAGGTCAGTGACTATAATCAATTAACCAACCAAACAAACATACATCAAAGAGCACCAAACAATGTACAAGAGATAGCTTTTCACATGCACAATGAATAAAGAGATAAATGACTCTATCCAATCCTATCTTCTAGTACAATAATACCTCACCATAGGGCTTTATTGTTTATAAAATGGGTTTTGATTCTTCATAGCAACCACATGAGATATACAGGGTGGGTGATGCTCACACCGCTTTACAAGTTAGGAGACAGTGTGATGACAGGTTGTTAGAGACAACGCTTCCCCTGGACTCCAGGTCTGCTGACCCAGATCTAGACGTTTTCTACCTCCCATACCCATACTGCTCTCTGTAGGAGACCCAGAAGCATCCTGAGGATGCAGCAATCCTGCAATGGACAGCTTCCTGGGAGAGGAAACAATTCCCATGAGGGGGAGGTGGGGTCCAGAAGTGGAGGCGAAGTGAACGCTATGCCCGGGTCCTGCGACGTCTTAGGCTGGACTGATGTGCATAGATCCTGCCCTTGGTGCACAACAGCATATCAAGGCGGATTCAGGGGCAGAGTATTCCTGAAGGTACATTAAACTGGGTGCTATTTCATTCTATTAAAGACTAAGCAAAAAAAAAAAATTTGTATCACCAATTTTCTTAAGTTTTTTTAAAAAAAAGTCTCTCTTTGGAAAGATTTTGAGTTTGGCTTGAGCTCAATAAAATCAATATTGGCCAATCAATCAATATTAGACCAAGAAATATAATAAAATATAATTTCTGGCTAGCTCATAAGAAGGGTTGTTTTTATTTTATTAATAACTAAGCTACCTGTAACTTTATGGAATAGTGGAGCTGAAAAAGAGGAGGTAAAAACACGTCTACATGCAGTTTCGTTTTCTGTTGTTAGTTTACATGAGACAGTCACTTCTAAAGAACCCAGGAATTTCTTTACAAGAACTATTTGTAACCTCAGGCACTAGACCTACAGTTGATCACTGTTTTTCCTGTTGCGAAGACCAGATTTCCCTTTTTGTTCTCCTGTGAAGTCACCGTGACAGGCTTGCAGGGAGGAAGGAATAACATCTAGCTGTAGTAGAATATAAATTAATTCCTTCTTAGCATTCTAAAGTGGCATGCTCACCCACGGAGCTCACTCACGCCTTGTGTGTATGTTTACTAGTCCAGACCCCGCTGCCGACCACGGCCACCGCGCGAGGGAAGCCACCCGGAGCAGCTAACCTCCTGCGTCCCATAGTGGCAGCTGGCCAGTGGAGGCTGTTACATTTTGAATTAAACACATAATCCTAATATAAATTGCCTTGAAATTCTGTTAATCATAAAAAGTTTATAAAGTTCTAATCTTGAAAATCTATAACGTTATTACAAGATTTAGAACGAAACAATCTGGGGGATGGTTTGGTTTGCTTTGCTTTGCTTTGTTTTTGGAGGGGCAGGCTCTGGGTGTGAGGGGCAATTACTCTGTTTTTACACCACCATTGTTTACATACACAAAATGCATGTTTGATAGTTTTCAAATTTCTTTCATAACTACTATCCCCTTTCATCTTTAAAAGAACTCTGTGAATGTTTCCAAAATTATTCAGTTATAATGAATTTAGAAAATAAATACTGAGCCTCCAAAATCAATAAAAATGGTGACACTTTCTAAAAAAATTAACTGTTGCCCTGGCTGGTGTGGCTCAGTTGGTTGAATGTCATCCTGTGCACTGAAAGGTCACCAGTCTGCTTCTGGGTCAGGGCACATGGCCAGGTTGTAGGTTCAATCTCTGGTCGGGGTGTATGTAATCAATGATTCTCTCTCAGATCAATGTTTCTCTCTGCCCCCCCTAAAATCAATAGAAATGTATTTGAAAAAATAAAAATAGTAAAAAAATAAAAATAAGCCCTGGCCAGTGTGGTTCAGTAATTAGAGCATTGGCCTGTGCACCTAAGGGTCTCAGGTTTGCTTCCTGTCAAGAGCATGTACCTGGGTTGCAGGTTTGATCCCCACTGTCAGGGTGCATACAGGAGGTAACCAATCAATGTGTCTTTCTCACATTGATGTTTCTCTCTCTCTCTCCCTCTCCCTCTCTCTCTCTCTCTCTCTCTCTCTCTCTCTCTCCTTCCCTTCCACTCTCTCTTAAAAAATCAATGGAAAACTATCCTCAGGTGAGGATTAACGAAAGAAAAAAATCAGCTGTTTTCTGATGATTTGGGCAGTTCTTTCGCTGTTAACAAATATTAGAAATTTGTCATGAAATTGCTGAGTGAAGTTAAGCAAAGACTGAAAGAAAAGAAAAAACAGAACAAAAAAACTCTCCAATTCTCAACTAGAGATTTGCGTCAAAATATGAGAAGAGGATTTCGAGGGCCCAGAAGGAGGTTGCAGGCCCAGCCCGGCGGAGGCAGACGGGCCCGTGTGCGTTTCCAGGGGGCTGGCCAGTCCACTAGAGGAACAGAGGCTGTTACGGGCTGTTTGGGGGGTTCTTCTCTACCACCCCAGCCTGGTCACTGAGGCTGGAAATTTCTTTCATGGGATACAGGTCCTGGAACAGAGATAGAGGCGATGCAGAAATGTTCTCAGAAGGGTAACACGTGATTTCACTTCATGCCGAAGTCAAAGTGACCGGAGGAAGACACTCCTGGGGTCAGTTGTTGCAGGAAGGAGTGGAGACGGCAGCCGGGCCCTGGCTGGGCACCTGCAAAGGGTGAAGGGGAACAAAGGACAGAAGCAGAAGCCCGGGGTCCCAAAGACAAGTTGGTTTACGGTGGTCACAGCAAAGTCTAGCACTGAATGTGGGCAAGGGATTTGCAGGACATAGGTGGGCGCCTGATGCTAAATGAGCACTGACAGCAACTCAGGTTGTGCAACTTTCCAGCGATAAAAAATAACTCTATAAATCTGGATTTGAAGTGCAAACGTTCATTCCTGTCCGGTGTCTATGACCTGGGATAGCTCTTTGTCGTGGGGCTGTCCTGTCCACTGCAGGATATTTAGCTTCTGTTAAAGAAATGCCAGTAGCACCCCCCACCCACTGTGACAATAAAACTGTCTTCAGATATTGGGATCAAAATCAGCCCAGCGAGGACCACAGAGGAAAGCCCTCTGGGCTGCATTTCCCTGCCTGTGCGATGGCCATGTCCGCGCTTCTTGCCTGCACAGGGGATCTTTCTACCTCATTCAAAACCTGCTGGTTTTCCTTCTGCCACTGAAGAAAAACTGGAGGCGGCGTTGATCCGGCCACGTCAGACTGGGCTTGTCAGTGCTGCCTCGGCCACTGTCAATGTGACCCAGGAAACTTCCTCCCTTACTCAAACCACACTTGTTATTCCCAGTGGCAGCAAAAATACCCTTTTATTCTTCAAAATGATGCTCTTCTTTCTTCTATTTCTCCCTTTATAAATTCAGGACCTTATTTGGTCCTTATTTTAAGTTGTGTTCACATCACTTCCTTTGATATGAACATAGGAAAAACGTATGACAATTTGAATAGCCTTGGGCTAGTGGATTCTCCCAGGAGAAAGTCTAAAACTTCTGTAATTTCATTGTCTTGAGATTGGGCCTGGGATGTTACACCCTTATATAAGCTACCTTTTATTTAGGCCTTTCTACATACTGAGTGATACGTCTTACCACAGCTACACTGCAGATCAATGCAAGAGAGAAAATTTTTAAAAAGAGAAAATTATAATAATGAAGAAACTTGCCAAGAGTTATACTTTTTCTTTTAAATTACGTTGCTTGGTTGCCATTTTCCTTGTCCTCATAACTGTGACAGTACCCACAGGGCAATTGCCAGGAAATGAGCCAGGACAGGTTTAGAGAGATGCTTTGTGCCACCTGAAAACGTATCTCACTGGCAGGGCACTAGCCAAGCTTCCTTCGTTGGCCCTGGATCACTGTGAAGAACACACATGGAACTGGACATTGTCCTTGATCTCAGATATTACCTCAGAGGGCCATTACCAACACATTAGTACCAGTGACATGATTAGTACATCAAATTAAGTAGCTGTTTCCTTGAAAAAAGGGACCCAAGGAAATGGGGTTCAGAGACAGGTAAATTTTGAAATAGGGGAATACATGAAGAAAGGTGTAAATCAGAGAATTCTTAATAGCCAGGGGCACTGGGACCCTGGGGGAAAAGTTTCTAAAGAGAATTAGGCACTAAATATGATTTGATGGTGCTATTGGTGATGGTGGTTGTGGTGGTAGTGATGGTTGTGGCAGTGATGGTGGTGGTGATGGTGGTTGTGGTGGTGATGGTGGTGGTGGTGATGGTGGTGGTAGTGATGGTGGTGGTAGTAGTCATGGTGGTGATGGTGGTTGTGGTGGTAGTGATGGTTGTGGCAGTGATGGTGGTGGTGATGGTGGTTGTGGTGGTGGTAGTAGTGATGGTGGTGATTATGGTGGTGGTGATGGTGGTGGTAGTGATGGTGGTGGTAGTGATGGTGGTGGTAGTAGTCATGGTGGTGATGGTGGTGGTGGTGGTGGTGGTGGTGATAGTGGTGGTAGTGATGGTGGTGGTAGTAGTCATGGTGGTGGTGGTGATGGTGGTGGCAGCAGTGATGGTAGTTTTGGTGGTGCTGATGGTGGTGATGGTGGTGGTGGTGAT